ATCGTGCGACGGCAAAACATTCGCCCGCAGTGGGCGGTACTGTACGCACGAGCGCGTTTGGGAGGTATTCATTGTCCCGGGGGAAGCCGATGTGTACGCCGGAGGACCACTACGCCCGTTTGCCGCCTTGTACAGGCTGTTTGTAACGCTCCTCGAGCCTTTGCTGATACTTGGTAGTACTGCAGACGTCGTAGAGTTGACCGAGTCTTGCTACACCCGGGTCGTCGCTAACAGCGTCTACAGACTTTGCCGTACCGAAGACTCGAGGACTGACCTCGTCTGACCCCACATCCCGATCGTTGACGAACGACTTCTACGGCGACTCGTCCGTCTCCTCAACAACCTGCACACATCAGTTTACAATGCCTCCATCAAGAGTTCAGGATTCTTTCGACCCACCTTGCTGTATAAATGCTGATGCGAAACATATGTTTCTGTCCCATCGGGCGGTAGGTACTCGGGACAGATACCAAACGCAATTGCGCCTTTCTGGTCGAGGTACCGCTTGAGGCGCAGGGCCTGACCCAAGACGCGGGCTTGCTTGATGCCGAACTCGTGCTCGATGCGCGACATGTACTTTTGGACAAAGTCTTGGCTTTCAGGTGAGGCCATGGGCATGGCGGCGGCCTAGAACATTGGTTGTTAGCAGCAAGAACATGTCGCTGACGATGAATAAACGTACCACGTAAAGCGCCCATACAGTACTGTAGCCTCCCGCGACGCGTACGATAGGAAGCCGGTCCTTTACAGATCCGTTCCCGAGAAGAGCTTTGACGAGCCCGTATGTGTTGCCTCGGAAGTTGCCATCAAGAGATTTGAGGGCTATACGGTATGGGCTTGCTGGCGCAGCGGATGCCGTCCATGGTGCGCCTCGTCCCGACGTGCGCGGTTCGTTGTAATCGTCATCGGGTGGGGTCGTCGCTCTGCTCGGCGCAGAATCGGGAACATCATGCATGAACTGGGGCATGCTTGCTATGATATCGGACTGCAACTGGTACAACATGCGAGCGCTTTTCGCTAGCTGCTCGTGGTATTTGCTGCCGGCAAGCGTCGGTGGACTAGTTGCGAACCCTGCCAGGATGCAGTTCCGGATAATGTCATGGAAGTAGATTCTGTTGTAGCGCACCCAGTTCCAAGTCTGAGCTGCTGTCGCGGTCGGGTAGACGTGGTAGAAGTTCTCAAAGATACGTTCACTCTTCTCGCAATGCACGACGTCGTAATCCCAGTCTGCCCCTTGATCCTTGAAGATATTGACAGCGATGTCTTCAAGTTCGAGTGCCGATTCTATGATGTCCGCCAACGGGAACGCTGAATGATTGAGGATGCGAGCTCGTAGGTCGATGGTCTTGATGTGAAGGAAGAAGAATCGGTTTCTTGGGTCGTGTGTATCCAAATGCTTCATGACTTCGCTGTTCAGATCGTGAACATATTGAGGAAGGGGAATGCCCTTTCCCATGCAGTTCATAGTGAGTAGGCCAACGGTGTGGAGGTACATGCGTTGTCCTGCGGGAGTAGAGAATTGCTCCATGCCTCTGAGTCTGATGAGAGATGCAGCACCATCGACGTGGTTACTCCATCCAGCCAGAGAGGTGTCGTTGAACGTTGCTTCGAACATACTAAGCAGATTGACAGCTGTGAGAGTGCTATCGGCCTTGACAGCTTCAGGCGAAGAGATTGCCTTGTTGGCCATCTTGATAGCCTCAAGATACCAGCGTGTCGCTTCGGCTTTCAGACGAGGGTCCATGTAGAGGTTGGCTACACCGGCGATGCCCAGCGCTGTCATGGTCGTAGACACGAGCGGATGGAAACCATGCGTAGAGAGATGTTGCTGGTACTCGACTGACTGTATGGACGGCTGGTCCACTCCTGTGCAATAGTACGACATGAAGAAGCTGATGCCTTGATCGATGAGCGACGCGGTTATAGCCGTCCCCGGACATTGTTTCGCCATGATCTGGAGATAGGCCTCGCGTACATCTCTGATATCTCGCGCATCACGTGCGGCGATGGCTTTCGCGTTTGATATCTTTGCTTTTGTCTGCACATGTTTGGTCTCGTCGTGGAAGAAGGCGTCGACCGTTCGATCGTATCCGGGGCATTTGAAGTTGCGTTCGGCACACTTGATACAGCCCTCTGGCCGTTCATCACACTACAATCTAGTCAGCGGCTCGAGTCAAGAAGTCTGACGGAAAGAGTTCCCGCTGCGAATGGGTGCTGTATCTGCGGATAGACTCTCGCACAGGATACCACGTTGGGAAGAAGCTAGTCGCGGGTTGCGGCGCCCAACGCGAACACCGCACACTGCATGCCCTTGTCGGAAAACCAAGCCAGGTTACATGATTACATATAAGAGAGCTGGACGTACCTTGATCTTTCTCTCGCGACACTTCTTGCACCCTGTTGACGGTCTCCCGCGATACACCATGCTGGACTAGTGTTATCGCATCAAGGGTACGGTAGACGACGGTTTCGAACGATTAGCAGCCACAGCTGATGTAAAGATTAGGTAGAAGTATTAGAAGTGATTTTTCCTGCGATGTACTGATGACGAAAGGATAGACGGCGACTTTTGCTCATGTGAAATTGCGCTTGGCTGGTCACGATAGACGTCGACGCGTGTTTCTGACTGCAAACCAAGACGACCATTCCGACCGTACTGACGCATGTCGTGTTGTAACGGCCGAGCTTATGGCGGGACGTTGGCGTTCCGACGGACTCAATGACCAAGGCAACGGATTTCTCAGCATGCAGAAGGGCGGTGATGAGACGGAACGCCTAGCGCTAGCGCGCACGTTTCCTGTCGCGCGTTACCTTGTCGAGGAAGCTGGACGATTGGCTCTTCGTCGTTCTTTCTGCATGTGGACTTATGCCGGGTAGTCAGCCGTGGCCATGAACTTCAACTCGAAAAATGTGACATTGCCTCGTTGAACTACCAAAGGCCTGAGATGAACTGGTGTTCCTTGGGTGTTCCTAGGTTCTCAGGTGATGTCCGTGCAGATTTTGATTGCAGGGCAAACTCAACGAACACGAGTTCTTCGTGCGGCTAGTCTGGCGAGATCCGATCGGCGAGTGATGACACTGGACAATCGATGTGAGCAGTTCGTGAACAGATCGTGAACGATGTGATCTAGAACGTTCAAGGCAGATTGCACGTGTTTTGAGTTCGCTGGCTCAGATGGGGACGGGAAGTTTGAAAACGTCCAAACTTTGTTTTAGGGCAGGCTATAGAGGTTTCGTTCGTGCCATGGAACCTTCCGGGGATGCACTAAGATCCGGCGTACTCGGTGGACTAAAGCGGCCCGATCATGTTGTACGAGATACGCTGATGCCTGCTCTGTCAATCATGTTTTATGCTATATAAATAACATATGTGTCTATTTCTTCATCGAACCAATAAAACGGGGGCGTTGTGGCGGAGTGGTTATCGCGCAAGACTAGAAATCTTGTTCCTTCGGGAGCGTCAGTTCGAATCTGGCCAACGTCGATCTTTTTGGCCATTGCATTGCCTTGACAGAGGACTTCGCTTGGTGGGAGCTATCTTTTTGCTCGAGTCGAGTGGTCAGCCAGCTATGCACGCTCAGGTTACATTATTTAGGCGCAAGTGCAGTAAGTAACTACATTTTGAACGGCAAGGTGAGCTCTGATACAAAGTATTCAGGAAGAGTCTGTCTCTTTACAGGAAGTCGGAGTGAAGAACAAGTCACTATGTGATGGCGCTTACTGCAGGCAACGTTCAGAGTCGACAGCGTGGGTACTTCAAAAACTACTAGCAACCAACACTCCATCGATCTAGACACAGCTGCATTGGTAATACCATCTAAGCACATGCTCACTGCACGACGCCAGAAACATTTCCAAGTGATACCGTGTTTCGGAACCTCCATCTTCCAGTATCACACCCAACTGCTGGGTCAACGAGTAGGATCAAACCGACATAAAACACATCATTCACCATGCCCAGGTCACCTGCTCTTTGCCTCCGCATACCTAGATCACACTCCGCTCTTTCCCTCAGTCCTGGCCATCACAAACCCCAGCATGACAATACTTCTTGCACCCGACTTCATACTTCCACTTTCCGGACTTGACGCCCAAGCCTTTCTGTATAAAGTATCCGTACCGCGCGTACTCTCCAGCATACTCCCTTTCCTCATCTCCATCTTGACGTTCCTTCTCCCTTCCTTCTTCATCACTTTCTTTGCCAACGTTGCTCTTGCTCCCGCCATGCTCTTTCAACTCTCCCCAAACACCATTCCCACACTGATAAACACAAGTACAATACTCGGACCCATCATCTTGCTTTACGCACAAGGAGCGATCACCGGTTTGCTCGGCGTACCAGGTGCCGAGTTTGGCGATGGGGATTTCTGGTGTGGTAGTGTTAGAATTGAATGTGGATGTGGGAGTTGAGATCAACATACGATGGTGTTGCATGAGTTCCCAACCGCAGTACTTTGTAACATTTCCTTCTCTCCTCAAATTCGATGTTGACGGCGACATCCATGTTGGCGATGAAACAACGCTCGCGACGAGCATGGCGATCATTAACAGTATCATGCCGCAGCAGCGGCTTCCTGATATTATCGCCATGGTGTGATCGCGCCGGAATGACGACGACTATCTTTCGGCGGTATGTATGTGGCGAATCTCCCCTTCGAGGAATCTTGCAGGAGGAAGATCGGAATGTCAGGAAATTACAGTAATGTCGAATTACTTTTGACTTTGGCATCAACGCTCGTGGTACCGTACACGTGGCTAGCCGCAGACCGTGCCTCGAAGCTACAGCAGACGGAGTGTTTGTGCGTTGACGCGCTATGGCGTTGGTGATACAAACGTCATGTCAAATGTCACAATCAAAACAATCGCGATCGTCACACAAACACGGCAAAGACGGCCAATACCAAAGTTTATCGTAACCTCGTTGGTAATTCGTAAGATAAGCAAAACGCCTCGCTATGCAGTATGGGTATCGAGTGTGAATAACAAACGCCGTAAGGAAACTAGACCCAAGCCAAACTCCAGAGCGCGGGCATGTTGGGCCAGCGCTCTTGCCAGGTAGCGAGTATGTCGGGGACGCGCTCGTCAAAGCCAGATCGAGCAGCTCCGCCACCGGATTGCCACCCGCTATCGCCATGTTGTTCTCTCTCCTTGGCAGCGGCCTCGTTCAGGCTGAGCGCAAGGTCGAGGATAGCTTTGCCGCCAACGAGGGCTTCTTCGTGGTTATCCCTGATGTCGACGTTGAAGACGTGGACAGGACGGTTGAGCTTTCCGCCCTTGTTGTGGAGATCTTCCAGCACAGCATCGAAGCAGCGCTCCTCGCACGTTATGACGACGTCGACGACACCAGATTCAGTACCCTGCGAGCCTTTGTCTTCGGCGTGGTCCAAACGAGGCTTGCCGGGCACCCAGTCTTGGAAGCGCTCAGGGTAGCCTTTGATGTTCAAGTTGCGACCGAGCATGTTAAGCAGGCCGTTGTGGGTGTAGAGCGCAGTGTTCTGGCCAGCGAGCTCATCGTGGATGGCGCGGTAGGTAGTGCTGTTGAAGTTGTAGACGTTGGGCTGCGTGATGGTCGGACCGGGAAGACGGACCAGAGAGCCAGTGCCAAAGCTAATGGTAGGGAGATGGGCTGAGGCAAGCTGAAGATGAGCTTCCATGGAGCTAGTCAAGTTAGCGATATGATTGGCTTGCGGATCAGCGAATGACATACCGGTTCTGGTTACTCGCACACACAGTGCAGAACTTGAGCTTGAAGCTATCGTCGGGTACCATATTCTGCTCTGCGTGCGCGTCGCTGGCGCCGTCCATGCCCATGGAAGCGGGCTCAGCTGGCGGCGGCGGGGGTGGTGGAGGTGCAGCGGCGGCAGCCTGCTGCCTGGCGCGCAGTCGTGGGTCGGCAGGGGCGTCCATATTCGGCGGGGTCGGGTCGTGGTGCGGGAGGTGTGATGGGACGGTGTGGAAGGTATGATGGGGCAGGTGCTGGCGCGTCTGCGGACAGCTCTGCAATTTCTTCACAAACGTTAGTTATGGTTCCACGCAATTATAGACAGCAATCATAACAAGGTTCACGGGAGATCAGAATTTTCAGCGTTAATTGTGAGTCCTCAACGACATCCGAGGTAATTCCTGCGAATTGCCTAGGACAGCTCCAATATGGGTTCATCATCTCAAGGGGAGGGCACATGGGCACACGAAGGGAGGAACTTACAGTACTAAAAAGAGTTACTCCAGATCATAGTCCCATGCATAGAGAGACGCGTATGAGTGAGTGGTAAGAGTTGTGGTGGTTGTGAAAGGCACGAGGCCTGTGAGGTTGAATCTTTGTCAAGCTCGAGCTCAAGTCATAGTCTGCTTAGCGGCTGACTAAGCTCGGCTGAAAGATTACGCGGGGCGCCGAACACCTGGGCACCTCGAAATGGAGGGGCTGGTCGCGATGCTTCATGTCGACAATCTTGGAACAGACTCTTACCTGTTCCTGAAGCGCTTGGACATAGCATATCTCGTATAGGGAGATCGCCTTCATTAAAAGCGATCGCGGTGACGTGATGCAATTGCGCAAGCATACTGTATACCCAAACGGGACGCCTAGGTAACCCGGCTCAAACGCACCTGTCACACAGCGCCGTGGTCTGGGGAATGTGGTCGGGAGAGGACCATGGCATGGCGAAAGGAATGATATCCGAGTCGACTATGATGTGTTTGCCCTCGTGACAGGACGCGGTGAAGACGGCCCAAGGAAGATGCTCGCGGGCCTGGCAGCGCATTCGACCAGCGGTGCGCGCGCAGTCCCCATGCAGCTAGGCGATGACCTGAAACGCCTACTAAGGTGAAAGTAGCCTAAGCATGCATTGATGGGGTTTGCAATCATGGAAAGGAAGAGTCGTCAGAACACACACCCCTCGTTGATGCCAGCAAGGCTGTCTCGAGGCCTCTTGACTCGCTACCTCTGCTTGATATCGACAATCGCACAAATACATTTCATGCCCTGCCCACTGGCGGCGCTGTCAAGTATCCTGAAACACTTTGGCATCTAGCACTCCCCGCCGCCTGGTGCCAAAAATAGAGTTGGCCATCACCACCACGCGCGCGCTGGTCTACACAGCATCCAGAAGCCGCCAGAGGCCTCGCCATAGTCGCGTCGCCCCCTAGCCGCACTGTTGCCGTTCCCCTCCTGCACGGAACCCTCGAAGCCACCACGTTGGCCCTCGGGTGCGCACCTCATCAACCGTTCACTGGGCGAGTGTTAGCGCCAGGCCTGACCCCCACAACCCCCAGCGAGCGCTTCTCCAGCCGCTCTACAGTGGAAATATCTTCACGCCCGCCGCGCAACTCCCAATCGCCAGGCGCACCTGCACAGCCGACGTGCTGCTTCCAGAAGGCCTGAAGCGCGCCGCCGGGCCATTGGTCACTGTCGCCTCGAAACATCCGACACAAACATCGAGTCACTGCGCCATCTGCCGTCGCCAGTCCACGTCGCGCTGATTCGAACGCTGCTTGTGCGCCTTGTGCGCTGGCCACCTGGAGCCCGTCTCTGCTCCCGCGGCAGTTTCCCGAGTACTGCATACCGCATACCGCATACTGAATACTGAAGACTGTACTGCACTAGCTGCGTCGCATCCTACTCTGCCACCCGCACTGCCCTCGACCGCGCTTCAAAACTCCATATAGTTACCGCCGACGCCCGACCTGTCTGTTCACGCAATCTACCGCATGACAGACGCCAATTCCGCATCAGAGACGGCCGCCGACTCGCAGCGGCTGAAGAACATCACAGAAGGAGTGGCTGTCCGCGGATACCACAGCGAGCAAGACATGGCGGCCGATGTCTTATCACCACGCAGTGACCCGGGCGCATCGGCGCAAGTCGGGGTCAATCGCACCTCCCTCCCGCCGCTCGTCACTTCCCCGCCATCCAAGGCGAAGCTCGAGCGCGCCAGCTCCTACATGAACAAGCGACTCTCGACCTTCTCCAACACGTCCAACACATACCAGTCCGTGCGCTCCCGGCCGCAGTCGACCGCCTTCCCCATCTTCCACTCGAGCCTGCCCTACTCGCTCGTCCGCGACTTTGCCTACGACCCGCTGCACCCGCTCTTCTACGGCCCCCTCCCGGAACAACCTTCCGACATCTCGACACCGGCCAGCGAACACAGCCGGAGACTCTCGGACCCGCCACCCGTGGCATGGCGAAGCGACCGAGGCGGTTGGTCCGCGGGGTCCTGGGACGAGAACGGCGAGCAGCTCCCACAAACAGCATACGACGGCGGCCCGCCCTACAGCGAGGACGACGACATCTCTAGCCCGGTAGTCACAAGCCACCATGGCGCGAGGCATAAGAAACACAAGTCCAACATTGTCAATTTCGACCACACTCGTGGGCGGAGAGGATACCCCGAAGAGCAGCGGCGGGGCTCGATACTGCCTATGAACGGCGAGAGCAGCCAGTTCGTCAGCGACGAGGCTGCAAACGGGCCCGGGGGTGAGTTGATCACATTTCCACCCGAGTCGTCGCGGCTCGGTGTGCCAGAAGGAGCTTCACGACGAGACTCGCACTTCGCAACCACTCTTCCACAACGGGCATACGCCGAAACCGACGCCGATGTCGAGGGCCCGCCATATGACTCAGACGACGACATGTCAGAGCCCGAGGACTACATCCACGACGACAACCGATTCTCGCGCGACTACCAGTTCACCATCGCATCGCCCGACGAGGAGATGCACGGCAAGGCCGTCGCCCTATTCGACTTCGCACGCGAGAACGACAACGAGCTGCCGCTGGTAGAAGGACAAGTGATATTGGTATCATACAGACACGGCCAAGGTTGGCTCGTAGCCCAAGACCCAAAGACTGGCGAGAGCGGGCTTGTACCCGAGGAATACGTTCGCCTGCTGCGCGACATTGAAGGCGGCTTGAATGGTCTAGTCGGCGCGGTACAACCTCAGCCCGAACTACTGCCACCCGAAGCCAACAACGGGCCTGAGAGCCTACTCAGTCCGATCTCAGCTGGGCCCGAAGCGAAGACGCCCACACAGGCCGACCACCCCCAGAACTACACGCCCGTCATATCGACCTTCTCAACAAGCCACAAAGATCTGGAGAAGTACCCGACAGATAGGCTCGGGACGCCTACTACCACCGAGGGCGGCCCGTTCTCAAGAAGCAAAGACACTGGCGCTATGGAGGGTGTGGAGTCAACACCCGAGCCTCAGTCCCAAGATCAGAAGCCATGAAGATCGTAAGGTCGCTTGCCTTACCATGGGCAAGCCCGGAAACCAAACTCCGCAGAGCTACAGCAAGGGGTGCTGGACCCATGCATTACCAGGCGACAGACTTGCCCACCGGAGCAAAGGGATAGCCACCCCCTCACCGTAGCATGACATGGCTGGGTGCAAAAAGAAACAAGATGCTCAACGCGTTCACGACATTCGCTTCAACCCATGTCTTTACCCAGTCTCTTATTTCTTACTCACGAACGCATTCTTCAGCATAGCGGATTCTCTTTCTTCTTCATGCGGAGCAGGGCGCCAAAATGGGATGGAACGGAACTCGATGGGGGAGTACTGTTGTCACAGCAGCAGAGGAAAGGATGCAGGTACGGTTTGAGCGTACCGGTCCCGTAAAGAAAGGAAAGGAAGGGGGCACCACGATTTCGAAGGTTGTTACATGTTGGACGGGTCTGGGCTTACATGGTGTGGACATATCACTATCATTGTAGTTGTACATTTCTCTTTTCTATCTTGACGAAACGACACTTGGCTTGTGATTATTAGAAAGAGAAAGCAAGCCGAGTAATGACGGAGGAAAGGGTGTGAGATCGGGATTCTCACGTTTGTTTAGCGGTGCGAGGAGCGAGAGGCGGTTTTATATATCAAACCGCTGTCTTCTGTAATACATGACTGTTTCGAGAACGTTGGCTCCAAAAATATGCTTGAGATGATCTTGTTCTTGTTGGTGATGTTGGTCTTGGAATAAGTCCATCTCCCAGCTCTCATGTTTAGTAAGTAAACACTCCTGAAGCAGATCTCGGGACCAAAGAAGAGCCGTCACATTTTCCCAACACAATTTTCCTCACAATGAACGTCACCAAGTACAGGGTATATGTCCAGCGATATAGTTCATGGCGTAACCGCATGAGCTTACCGGGTACAGAAAATACACTTTACTCTGAGACGCATCTCTAGACCATGCTTTGTTATACTACTACAATTAAATGGTGTACACAAACAACTTCAATCTCGTTTTACGGAACGCATGACATTGTGTGTCTTGCAATGAGAAACGAAGCACTGAAAACAAGCACCACCTCAGGGAAGCAAGCGAAGTCTATGCATGTCATGTCATGTCATTCAGGATATGATCCCAATACCTATACTATGCCCATACCCCGCCAGCATCGACCGAACGCCCAAACGCGCACGCTTCCCAAACTCCGCTCTACCAGAACCACCCTAGTATCCCGAAAACAATGAGAAAGAGAAAGAAAGGATACTGTACAAAAAGCCCCCCTACCCAATCTCCCTTCCCAATCCAAAACAGCACACCAACCACTCAAAGCGTAGGCGCCCTCTTCAACCCGCGACAATACCTAACATACAACGCATCAATAAAATGACTATGCCTAATCCCCGGCGGTCTCGCTGTCTTGAACGTCTCAATCGCATCCTCAACACTATACCCCAACCTCTCAATCAGATAGCTCACAAGAAAGAAGCCCGTGCGATTGAACCCATAATGGCAATGTACGCCAATCAACCCAGGCCTACCTTCCGCACGGATCTTATCGACGAGGTCGAAAAAGTCGTTGACTTCGGCTGCTTGGGGCGGTTGCTTGGATACGGTGGGGAATTTGTGGTAGGGGATTCCGCCTTCTTCTAGGCCTTTGGGGTCGTAGACGGGGTTGTCGTGC